TGCCCACAATGAAGAAGCAATGATCAAAACCCCTTTCTTCTGAATGGAAAAGTCTCACAAGTTTAGATGTGATTAGGTTAATGAATAGATGACTTCAATGGGATGTACATCACATGTTTCAGGGGAGGAGGGGGTTCAGGTTTCAACCATTTACTTAGACCTTAAGACAAGACGATGACCACAACATCTTCCTCTGTAATAACTATTGTCAAATCTTATGACACCCAACAAAAAGCGGGAAAGAACTGCTATGAACCAGAGAGAGGCGTGATGGGGTATTCTGCCTTCATCAGACCAGAAACCACTCACAAAATGCAACATTAATGGCTTCATCTCTCGGTTAAAAGCACTGACATTTAACATTAAGATAAGATATGTAAAGCATATCATGAATATTTCTTTTTTAATTCGGTTGGCTCTTTGAAAGAAAAAGGCGAAGAGCTCCAGCAAGATGTGGCAGCAAACATTTTGATTTCCTCTCTTTCCTATTTGGCAATGAAACACAAACAGTACAAAGCAACCCGTGTAATGCAATATGTTTCATAATAAAATGTATCTAGAAAAATATTAAACTGTTACATTTCTGCTGTTGTGCTAGTCTTTAAAACTGTGAAGCCAAAGCAATACAAGGCTCTGTCTCATTATACGGGCGTCAAAAATAAGTTAAGGAAGGGCACCATAATGGTTGAACATTAAACTGGCAGATTCAACAGCTCTCATATTAATCATAACCATGAGTATACAAAAGGAGGCTATAAAGATGTGGAGTTGAAGAAACACTCCAAGTATGATTCAAAGGGTTCATGAAGACAGAGCTTAACTACTCACCTTCATTAGGGTAAAGCATAGAAGTGTATATTATACTCTCAGCTTCTTAATTTCAATAAAAAAAACAAACAGAAATGCTCATGTAAACTCTAGGTGTTTTAATGCCAGCTGTTTTCAAGAAACAAAATAGCGCAGATTTTTCAGCCAAAGGTTACCGGAGATAATCTGAAAGATCTCTAAATTTGCTATATCAGTATGTACTTCCTTCAGCTCTACTTATTACTGTTAAAACTAGGGCTGCAACTAACAATTATTTTGCTAATCGATCCATCTGTTCATCATTTTTTCCATTAAAATTCGGATTTCAAAATGTTCCTTAAAGAAGACTCTTTAAACCAGGTCAAACCCAAACTTTTCCATTTCTAGAGTTCTGGATGACGATGACAAACGAAAAAGGTTTTGTTTGGTTTTTTATCTTAAATGCAAAATATTGATATATATTTTACAGTTCTCTTACAATTGCTTGGTCAGCTAAAGGCAAGTTTTAAAGTCTCTATACTCCAGTTTACGCTTAATCGATTATTAAATTAGTTAACAATTATTTCAATAATCGATTAATCTGATTAGTTGTTCACTCCCTAGTTAAAACCTTATACAAGTCTTAGTCTCTTATGCAGCCGCATTATAATTAGTTCAATTTTTTATTCTTTTTCAATACTCAGCTGTTCACTAGGTGAGATATTTGTTTCATTTAAAGATTTTTTAACAAATTAGTCATTTTGGAGGTGAAAAGAAAAAGGTTCCTACATTGTTCATTTGATAATCGTTACGATTTGTTTAACACAACATCCAATCAGACAACACTTCCTTTCACTGAGGATAAATGTATCCAGGGCTTTTTGCTTCTTCTGTAGCCTTGGGCACTTTTTCTAATACAACTTAATTTACTGTTTTATTCAAGCTTAATGAAGCTGTAGCAAAATATGGATATTCGTATCGCCGTACGTGCATGCGCTCATACCATCAACTACATGTGGTCAAAATGCTTTTCCTTTTACAGTCCACTGGAGGTAATGATCTGTGCTGTTTAATGTGCCAACACATTCAGGTTGACTCGTGGAGTGAGATCAGGGTATCAACAGATAACGTCTGACAGGATTCTGCTTTTAACACAGAGCAAAGGCAGAAAACATTTGAATTGTCAAGAGCCGCCCATCAGGAAGCCGCCTTATTCCCTTATAAGAGCGTGCCAAAAAGCCCAGACACCTGAGGTCAGACTGTTTACTGTAGAACATAGAAAACTCAAAGAGGCATGTCAACCTTGTGACAAACAGAAAACAATCAGAGTGAGTTTTCCATAGCTCCTGAGAGTAATGAGAAATATATGCAGGTGGCACCACTGTCTTTAAGAACCAAAATATTATTAGTCATGAAAACCTTGAATAGGACAGAAACAAAAATGTGATTCTTGTTTATAGGTGTCCAAGTTTTCAGCTTATAATTATAAAAAATGAGTAAATGTTACTTCCACATAGAAAAGATATCTCATTTTAGATTACAGCAAATAACGGATATAACTAGTTTAAAGATGTCTTGTGCAGTGTTGAGGCTGTTTTTAAACAGTAAAAGCTAGATCATAGAAGATCTAAAAAATTACATCTACTTCTCTTCTTATCCAGATTAATAAGTCTGTAAATCTATACAACCAGCCTATAAATCATTTAATTCAATTTAACATTCAATTAATTTTATTTTATGCAGTACCAATTCACATAAAGAAAACTCCAAGCACTTTCAAAGACAAAGATCAAATTCCTGTATTCATAAAACTGATTTTTGATCTTAATTTTTAACCTTTAGGTACGTTGGCCTAACAGACCTCGATCCATGCAACCAAACAATTTGTTTTTTTATTCCTCCAATCCTTTGCAAAGCAGCAGGTGATTATTCCAGAGTATTTAGGAAGCTTTTAGCTTAAGAGATAATGGAGCATTGTTTAACACCACATGGTGATGTGTTACTAATCACTTCCTGCACCTGTATGGACGATTAAAGGACAGCAGCTTGAAATCAGTTTGCTGTATTTGTGTTTAATTTATCAACAGTAGCTAAAATCTGAAGATTAATTTGAAGCTTAAAGAGTTTGTTCCCATTGTTAACTATGCACCATCACAACAAATAAATACTTCCTGCTGGGAAATATTTAGTTTTCCTGTGTCTCCACTTCCCTGTGCAAACAATACACAAACTGATTTCTGTGGCGTGAACTGCTTTAATTTGAGGATATTGCCATTTTGAATAACCAGTTGATGTCACTATATTTCTAAAAGTCGATGTTCTTGTCCTTATTTCCCAACACAAGAACACAAACTCTAACCCAATTTTTAATTATGGAGTGAACACAGAGAATGTGCATCAGTATAGGAATCTTATGCAAAGATAACCTGAAATTAAATCAAAATAAAATATTAAAAACATATATGAAGCTGACTGGTTTTATATTAAACCGAAAGCGACACATACTGCCACTGCAATAGAAAAAGAAAAGATGACGCAGACTTTTAACTGTTAAATCTATCGATTTCTTTGCTAATTTGAGGAATTTTTCAAGTGCTTCTTATACAGAATTTTACACCTTGTTAATTTAATCCTCATACAACCAGAGTAAACTCATGTATTTTCAATACATCTCTGGTATCTTCCTGAAAGGTCTTAGACCAGACAAACAAGATTAAATGTTGTACTTGTTTTGAAATTGCAATTTTTTTTAAGCCTTGATCTTTAAGTTAGATACGAGCAACCAGTCTAAACCTATCCCATACAGCACAGGTTAAACCAGCAGCTTCATGCTGGGTTCAAACAAACTAATAAAGATTTATTTTCAACACCTGCTTTAATATTCTATATACCTACAAGTAGGCAGGTGCCATTGTGTCTTTAGTCATTGTATATTTGTTTTATGCTCCAGGATTCCCCTCACAAAACCCTTCAAATTACACTTTTAAGATTTAAGTTTTAGAATTTCCTACAATAAAATAAAGTCAACATATTCACAATACTGATAACATTTATCTATTTAAACAAATGAATGACTAAGATGTGTTTCAAAATGTTTCTTCAAGAAAAGGTTTAGTTTAAACATAATTACGCCAAAAATATTATATTCTCGAATCTCGATATTTAAAAACCTTTAGATTTCTTATTTTTATTTTAAAATTTCTACTGTTTATCGCTGAAAATATACTGTAGGGCAAGGGTGTTGCACTGAATTTCATATCAGCATCTTTAAGTTTTTAAAATGGTAGTATTTCAATTTCAAAATTTCCCTTTAGAGAACACAACAACCTGATATAACATTCGTCCCATTTATTTTGTAGTTTAAGACATTAGTTAGTTTGAGACATGTGCTGTAGATATAACATTTAGTGTGAATAAGAGATTGTCCTCATATTGAGGTATAATAGGGTTTTGCAAAGTTGTGGTTTCAGAACCACAACAACAACATGTCACAAGTTAACATCCATACAATCTAAAGTCATTTAAAGAGATTTCAAAGAATATAAATATATATATATATATATGCTCTTAAAAAAACAGGTAGGTCAAGTTTGAAATTAACGGAGTCTCACATTAATATTGTCTTCAAACTAAATCTGATCAGCCTTTGGGTTGTTTGCAAGTTGAAATGTACATGCAAAGATGTCATAATGTCACACCCACTGAATCTCAATTTGAGGTTATAATCCTAGCCTATGCTTAGTCACAGGGTTTTGGTTTCAGTGTAAAAACAATGGACATTTAGTGCCTCAAAAGCACTAAATTAATTAAATAAAAAACATAATCTCAGTGTGATCTCAAATGTGTTTTAGTGCTCTTTTAAGATAATCCATTGAGCCATCATATCCACTGATATGTTTTTGTTGTTTTGATTGTTTTTCCCTTTCTGCTCTATCAAATGCATAATTGTGTTAAACTGTCCGTGTTTCAATAGACCAATGTGGCAAAATGTCAAAGTGAAGACCTGCCAGGATTCACAGACTAAACAGAGACCTCAACTTGCTCTCCTTTGCTACAAGGAGTGGGAACTCCAGTGTAATTGCGTAGGCAAGCTGGTGAATCACTGTTGTGTACCCATTTGCAACAATAACAGAGTTGAGATTGAAATTGTTTAAATACTCCCATCGTTAATACATATCTATATTATATGGGGGAGAAAAGAAAAATCGCCTTACCTGCCCTGTGGAAATCTCAATGACTTGCCCCTGTGAGGGCCTTGTTGACATCTTTATTCAATTGTTCCAAACAATCGGAGAAAACCGTGAAGGAAGGCCGATCGATCAGCTTCTTTTGTTCATTTAAAAGCCCAGTATGTAATGGTGGAGGGCAAACTTCCAACAGATGTCCCCCGTTGAATCAACAAGTTGAATCCCACATCAGCGGCTAGCAGGGAAGAGTTAGCCAGCTAGCTAGCGACTAGCTTGTAGCAACTGCGTGTCCCATGTTTGTCAACGGGCAACAGCGAAGGAAAAAAAGCTGGTGTCCTTTTTTTCCCTCAGCTTGTTGCTCGGTTTAAAAACATCCAGGTCCAAATTAAATATATTTATAGAGAGGAGAAGAGTTTTGGCGAGTGGGTACCGGGACGTTTGTGGGACAGCTAACTTGTTGTGTTAGCTTGAGGGCTGAGAGTTGAGCAACGGTTGAGTTTTAATAAGACAAGGCAGCTTTAGTTCTTCATGAAAAATAGATATTTATCCAATGTTATATCCACAGGCATCCCAAAAAAAGCCGTTTCAGGGTTCCTTTTTGTACCAACAGATGTTCCCCTTAGGTTTCGGGTTTAGGTCCCAAGGTCCAAAAAAACTTTCAGGCCAAAGTTATTCCCTGACTCTGACAGGACAAGTCCGAAATATCGAGTCCTAGAAGAAAGCAGGAAATATAAAACTTTGTAAAGAACAAACGTTGCAGGTGAGAAAAGCCGAAGTGATTTTTTTTTTCCTGTCTTGGCTAACTGTTAGCCAAAAATCGCGTCTGTTTCAATGCAAAGCTTAGCTAGTTAGCTTCTATCGCCCAGCGACAGACCGCAGTGGCGCTGACTGCCAAAAGGGCGACCCGCAAAAAAAAAAAAAAAAAAAAAAAAAGGGGAAAAAAAGATAATCCACGCAAATTACCGGCAGGCTTTCTTTCTCGCGTTGCGTGGTTGGAATAAGGTCGCTCACCAAGTGCTGCACTGCAGTGTGGCAATTCAGCAGCAGCTCGTCAGGTCTGTGCGCCGACAGGCGAAGGAGGAATCATCAAGTTGTTGAATCCATTACGGGCAAAGTAGGGCTTTCTTCTTTAGGAGGCGCGCGCACGTGTGTGTGTGTGTGTGTGTGTGTGTGTGTGTGTGTGTGTGTGTGTTACGGGCGACAGGAGGGAGGGGGAGAAAGGCAGGAGCTGCGCCCCGAATGCGGTCTATCCTGCCCTGATACCGGAACAAGCCAATAACAGCAACATGGCTGCTTGCACCACGACTGAGGGAGGGAGGGAGGGAGGAGAGTTCTCTGCTCGGCTTTGCTCGATTTTTTCCGAATTTCCACTGACCGCCTAGAGATGGGAATTCAGACAGTTTTCCGGGATCCGACTCGGATAGCTCTGAACTTTTTTTTCAAATAAACTACCGGTACTTCTCAACAAGGTTAAATATTGATATTATACATCGCCTATAGTACATTTATGCTTGGTCACTGACAAATTCTTATCTGCATCTAGAAACTATTTGGCGATCAAACGTGCATATGCAACGGAAGAGGATAGGGCCACTGAAAACATTAAGAAAGTTAACTGATTTTTATTTTATTTTTTCTGTAAAATACAACAAAAAAGTTTTTTTTCCCCTCAGAATTCAGTTTTTTTCCTCAGAATTCTGACTTTAACATCAGAATTCGGACTTTTTCTCAGAATTCGGACTTTGATCTCAGAATTCTGATTTATTTCTCAGAATTCTGACTTTAATCTCAGTATTCTGACTTTAATCTCAGTATTCTGACTTTTTTCTCAGAATTTTGACTGAACTCAGAATTCTGATTTTGTTTCTCAGGATTCTGAGTTTTTCCTCAGAATTCTGACTTTTTCTCAGAATTTTGACTGATCTCAGAATTCTGATTTTGTTTCTCAGAATTCTAACTTTTTTCCTCAGAATTCTAATTTTTTTTCTCCTTAGAATTCTGACTTTAATATCAGAATTCGGACTTTTTCTCAGAATTCGGACTTTTCTCAGAATTCGGACTTTGATCTCAGAATTCTGATTTATTTCTCAGAATTCTGACTTTAATCTCAGTACTCTGACTTTTTCCTCAGAATTCTGACTTTAATCTCAGAATTCAGACTTTTTCTCAGAATTTTGACTGATCTCAGAATTCTGATTTTGTGTCTCAGAATTCTGACATTAATCTCAGATTTCTGACATTTTTCTCAGAATTCAGATTTTTTTTTGTTGAGAATTCTGACTTTAATCTCAGAATTCTGACTTTAATCTCATAAATCTGACTTTTTTCTCAGAAATCTGACTTTTTTCTCAGAATTCTGACTTTAATCTCAGAATTCTGAATTCTGACAGCAAATAAATATGTTAGCATCAAGCCGTTGCCATGTCTGTTTTAGAGACTAAACTAGCTCACTTATTTTAATCACATTCTGCTCTTCCATTAATTAATAGCATCATTCCGTCATTTTCTATCACTGTGTTACTGGCCCTCTCAAACAACTCACATCTTTGTCAGTGAAGCTGAGTGCTCCCACTTCTCTTTCTTCATGGTGCCCATCTAGATTAAGATCCAAAATTCTGAGATTAAAGTCAGAATTCTTAGATCAAAGTCAGAATTATTAATTTTTCCCATATTAATCCATAATAGGCTAAACTTAAAGTTGGGTTAATTTTATTTTGGCATATATGATATTAAAAATAAATACTGTCACTTGCGCTAAAAATAACATAAGGGGTTTGATATGTGGAGCACATTATAATAAACTAATGCACTATTATGATACATCTTTTAAATATGTGTTTTTCTTCAAGTTCAATTATTTTTATGTGGTATTTAAAAAAGGCAAATGATGTACAGACGAAACAGCTCCATCTATAGTCAGAGCATACAAGCTTTTTAGAATCTGGTGCCTATCTTGATGTGAAATGAGTCATGTATTGTTTTTGTTGCCAGATTTATGAGGTTTTTATTATTTTATCTGCAAAAATTAGTTATGTATGATTAATTTTAAACCTAAAATCAGCATATTTAAATTTTTTGTTATTTAAAGTAAATTATCTTAACCTGTTGCAGTTATTTATTTATTTATTTTAAAAGCATGCATGGGCTGTTCATAGTCACCTCATGGTTTGGTAGTTAAATCAGTGCGTTTCTTAATCGGTATAAGAATATTAGCACTGGCTGCAAAGTTTTTTTGTGATTTAATTTGATCATCCCTTGGTTTTTTCTTTTTTATTCCTCCCCACATCTACACATTAGCATGTGCAATTTTGTCTCTCAACCATTTTCTTTAAAATACTCTAAAATCCTCTCTACACAAGAATGTTATGAAATTCTTTAAACATTAGTTTTTTAATGTTGTTTTTCTTTAACTTTTAGGGTTTTTTTTAATGAAGTGTAAAGTACATGCATATACATTAGTTGATTTAAAATCTATAGATTAAAATCTAAGTTTTGATACACAAACCTTAACTGATGTCTATTGTGGAAAAAAAGTGAAGAATAAATATATGCAGGGGAAGTTTTTTCCCCCATATATTCATGAAAAGGATTTGGCCAACTGTGTTGGATCAGTGAGTACAAGCACTTTTTTAAAAATATTATATGTCCTTCAGGGAGGAAAAAACAGCAGGTGCTGGTATGAATTAATTTAGATTTTAAAAAGCAATGTGAGATAAACAACTTTTTATTTTAGACTCATCCATAATTTTGGAAATTATTTAAAAGCATGAAGTTTAAAAGATTAACAAAGAAGGCTATATGCATTCAAGTCATAAAACAATACGTTTGTCATCATTGTTATACATGCAGGTGATTGTTTTAGTGTTTCCAGAGGCAAGAAGAATGGTTTACAGTTGAAATAAAATTTAATCTTGATTTAATATTATATTAGTTATCAAAATAATTCGATAAAAATCCCATTTGATGTCATCAATTCATTGGGTTAGCTTAAACAATCTATTTCCCTTTTGATAAAAATGATTGAATATTGACAGAATCTTTTTTTGTAATTAATTGATGGCTTTAAAACCAATACAAACAGTACTAACATGTCAACAAAAAGGTTCTAACTATATGGGGGGCAAAAGAGAAGTCAGATATTTGAAAAGTTACATACTTGTTTTTGACCTTATACATTAAACATAGTTTTCCCCATTAACTCCTCCTTATGAAAAAAATACATACCTTTAGTTTGTCTTTGTTTTAACAAACAAACCTCAATATTACACAAGTGAACAACAGTTTGTGGAACAATGCAACTTTACCATTAAGGCTATCTGGGTCAAAGGGTACACAATAAACATTTTAACAAAGAGTTTTGATCATATAAATGCAAAACGCGGTATTGTGGCTTAGATAGAAAAGTTTGAAAAAAAAATGCTGAAGATGAATGGACCTAAAAAAACAAACAAAAAACAAACAAACCGAGAGTCATAACAACATTTAATTTCCCTTTGGGATCAAAAAAGTATTTTTGAATTGAACTGAAATACAGGAAAATCCTGAAAGTAATGTTTGAGGCTGATGCAGAGGATTACCTTCCAGTCGAACATTAACCCAAGTCAGTTTCATAGAAATGCATTTTTTCTCTTAGAAGTTAAAAGAGGTTGGGTTGTCCAATACAAATATAAGACCAGAATCAAACTGAGAATCTGTTGCAAGGATTGCCAGTTAACATAACCCATTAATCAGTCTCTACTGAGCTTAAGTTATTTAGTAAAGCATAGTGGATCAAACTCATCATTTTACTGCAAAGCTTTGCACGATGTAAACTTGCAGCGGAAGTTGCAGAAAAGAGTGGCTCTATATAGAATGAACCCCTGGAAAACAGAACACAAATGTTTACTTAACCTTCCAGGGTTGTAACTGGAAAAATAATAACATATTTTTCTGTTTGCAAATCTTCATAGTTTTGCAGGAGACCAGTTTGTTTCCTTCAGTATTTCTAAGATTCAATCTTTGTTTCGGTTTTCTCAGCTTCACCAGGTTATTACCATGGTCAGCTGATTGGTGGTCAATGAATCACTTATTTTAAAGATTGATTCTCAGGGAGTGTATTATGTAAAGCAATATACCACTCATTATATGTTTAAATACTTCTAAGATAGAAAAAAACCACACAGTTCCTAAGCTACATCCATTACAAAGTGAATCCTGTCTGATTCACATACTACATAGAATAATACTTTCCAGATATCTCTGCTTTTTCTAGCTTCAGCTGGTCTCTTCCGGTTTGTCTGTGACACCACCTTGGACAGAACTATCAGCTGTGCTGCTGCCATCAACACCTTTGTTTATAGGTGTTCGAACTTGGTCTGTTTTTCAGTGTAGTCCTGTTTCTCTGACCGTGAATGGCTGGATGTGCTCTCTTTCATCCTCTGACATGGGAGCTGGCTCTGAGCTCGTCTTTCTGGTTGTGTGTTTCCTGGACGGGCGGCCTGTGGAGCTGATTGACAATTGCTTTTTGTATCTCTGCTTCTTTTTCTATGTCTGCTTCTGTCTCCTTGAACCCCAGTCGGCCTCGGCAGATGGCCGTTCACACTGAGCCTGGTTCTACTGGAGGTTTCTTTCTGTTAAAGGGAGCTTTTCCTCTCCACTGTGGCTACAAGCATGCTTGAGGGATTGCCTTTGAGTCAATGAGTCAATGCAATCAACTGGTTTTCCTTAGACAGAAAACTTCAAATGAATTTGACTGTATGATATGGTTAAATTGCAAAGCGCCTTTAGATGACATGAGTTGTGAATTGGCTCTATATAAATAAACTGAATTGACTTGAAATAAATAACTACAGTATGGTCCTCTTAGTCAATGGATTCCCACTTCACTAACAACATATTGTAGGAAGAACTACCTTTAGGAGGTTAACTAATTACAAATTTGAAAGGCAAATTATCTTTTCAAATAGTCCACAGCAAACAACCTGAAAACCTTTAAACAAAAACAAACAGGAGCTATGGCTCACTTCACACTCGACTTCATGTGTTGGCTTGCTGTGCTGCTAAGCTAATGCTTGTACATAAATGGGAACAAAAATGCTCAAATTTCATTGGAGTAAAGTACATTTCATGTGTCTCTTAACATGGGTGCTATAGCTTTAGTTTAGTATATTTCACAAATACTGGAGGAAA